GAGTTAGAAAAACAAACAGGGCTATGAGCATGCATGCTTTTCCACCACCATTCTTTTTTTGCCTTTTTAAAAAATGATAAAACGTTTGTTTTATTTTCAAAAGCTTAGAAACAAGGAAGCATGAGAAAAACCCAAACAAAAACAATGGCAACAACCCACAAAAAAAAAAAACAATGGCAGCATCTTCCATCAGTCAATTTGCACAACATCCCCAATTCCTTTTCCTTTTACACTTTTAACTTGATTCATAATCCTTGCACTCTTTCTAGCTGGACGTGCAGGTTATTTAACTGGCCTTCTAGTCCCATATACCTTCTTCTTAACAACAACAATTTTCTTTCTATCATATGTCATGTGATGGGAGCTATTCGTAAGGTCATTGTTGGTACCAACTTCAGTCGGTTCATATGGAACTGAGGCTTGGTTCTTTATTAATGGCTGTTTTGGAGCTGTAGCCAATGTCTTTTTCTTTGGAGCACTCTTCTTTGGCTTTGGCATAGCCCTTGACTCTTCAGTTGGGTCACTTTGAGAGATAAGCACCTTCGAACTTCTTCTAGGCTACAACAACATAACCATATTATCACCAATACATGAAATACGAATACCATAATATAAATTAAATGAACAAGTCCTACAAAACTTAAATTCAAAATAGTCATTCCAGTACGTTCGTCTGTGTAAAGGCCATAACCATATTGCTTTATCCTTTTCCCAAGAACTTCTCTTGTTCGCTGTGGTGCCTCAGTTTCAGCAACTTGCGGGGGAACAACTAGTGCAACCTGTGTAACCTCTGCAACCTGTGCAGTTCGTCGTCTTCTCACCTGAGAAAGACATAAAAAAAATTAAATTTTAAGCCCATAAAATAACACATAAAAAAAAACACAACCATGTGCAACTTACTAGATATTTCCTTGTTTGTTCAACGGTTGACTCGGTGGTTGTTGCTCCTATCCTGCCTGCAGTAGTCCCTACACCTGACCTCACAGTAGGGCCTTTTGTTGGCCTTTCAGCTGGCCTTGCACCTAACCCCACAGTATGGCCTTTTGTTAACCCTTTAGCTAGCCGTGCACCTGACCCTACAATAGGGCCTTTTGTTGGTTCTTCAGCCGGCCTTGCACCTGACCCCACAGGAGGGCTTTCTATTGAGCCTTGAGCTGGCCCTGCACCTAACCCTACATGAGGCCCTTCTGTTGCCCCTTCAGCTGGCCCTACAAGAGGCCCATCTATTGGCCCTACATCAGCCCCTGCAGTCTGTTGTTCTTGACGTTGCTTCTTCAATGCACATCCTTTCTTATTGTGCCCTTCCTTGTGGCAATAGGAGCACATCATCTTTGCCCCAGTCCTGGCTATTCTTCGACTTGAGATATCCCTCTTCTGCACTTTTCGTCTCATTCTTGGCCTTCTTATTTGTTTCTTTAGTAGCAAAGGTATACGGGCTTCGTGATTCGTTGGTTCCCAGAATTTGCTACTTCTGATAGGCTGCATCATGAATTGGTATGAAGTAAGGTATGTGCTTTTCTTGTACCAACCATCTAGGTAATCCTCTGGGTTTTGTTGCTTCATTTGGATAGCACAAATGGCATGGGCACAAGGAATTCTAGTTAGTTGTCAGGCTCGACATGAACACTTTCTCCTCTCCAGGTGGACGACATACTTATCATTATTGTTCATTATCTCATAGCCATTGTCTCCATTCTAAATTGGATGGCAGAACCTACTAGCAGCCAAGTTCTCATCCAATCTCTTCGCAATCCTAGGACCACATTCTCTAGTCCATTTTGCAGCCTCATCTCTTTGTCTATGCAGCCTAGTCATGACCATAACGCGAATGTCTTCGAGCATGCTTATGATTGGTTTGCAACTTGCCTCTATTATTCTGCCATTAAAAGCTTCACTAGGGTTGTTGTCTATGATATTGCATTTGAATTCCTCGCTCAAGAATGCCCTACACCAATGCTTAGCTTCTATTTGGAAGAGTGCTTCGAAACCTTCCTTTATCAGCTGCAACAACCTCTGTTGGGTCAATCTAAAATCAGCCATCTTGGTACTCTTTGCTATTTGCCAAAATTGCTTCTGCAGCTTATCTCCTTTGTAGTTCTTTGCCCAGTTTGCATATATGTGCCTTGCACACATTCTATGCTCGGCATATGACATCAACTCAGCCAAAGCAGGAACAAGTCCCTGCAAAAATTCAAACCAACAAATACAAGTAAGCAAAAATATGAGATTAAGTAATATGAAAAAGCTAATAATTGAGAATGGCATTACCTTTTGTTGGTCGCTCATGAATGCCCAACCTCCCCCATTGTCAATCTCAAGGTCAGCCATTAAATTTTTTAGGAACTATGACCAGGTATCCTTGTTCTCAATCTTCACAACAGCCCAAGCTATTGGAAACATTTGATTATTGGCGTCTCTCCCTATAGCAATCAACAACTCTCCCTTACATAATCCCTTCAGAAAACAATCATCCAATCCTACAACTCTTCTACAACCAGCCAAAAACCCCTATTTGCATGCATCAAAACATATATAAAATCTATCAAACTTAGGCCTACAGTCAGCTAGTGGCCTATTAACAACCTCTACACATACTCGACTAGATGAGTTTTGAAGCATGCATTGAAAAGCATAATCCCAAACCTGGGCGTATTCTTCCTTGTACCAACCCATTAATATTTTCATCACCCTTTGCTTCGCTCTTTTGCACTGAATTCTCGACACATTAACTTCCATCTACTCCTTCACTAATTGCTGAAACTGAGAACTCTTGATCTCAGGCATCGCCTTGATAGTATTAAAGAATTACCTCAACAACCAATCATTTGTTACTCTTTTATTGTCAAACATCATGGAACAACTATGTTCCTCCTGAAAATACCTAATCTTGAATTACCCCTTCCTACTCAGCGCGCCATAGATCTTCCACGGACAATGAGGTTGGGAACATTTACCTCTCACAAATTCCTTCGTATTTCTAATAAATTCAACGCTCCTCTATTCAGCAATGGAGTTCTTCATAATAGCTTCTTTAAATTATTTTGCATCATCAAATGTCATGCCTCCAGACAAAATAGGTTTGGCAACAGTCGGATTATAGCAAAGAAACTTACTTCTCCTTCTACGCACAGGTACATCATCATCCTGAAGCTCATTCTCAAAACTAGCATTCTCATTACCGCCATTTTCAGCCTCATCACTTTCATTACCTCCAGCTCTTTTATCTCTATTTCTGGCTTAGATTTACGCGTTTTTCCAAATGCTACAATTTTATTTCTCACAAATTCCCTTTGCTTTTGTCTTGACTGTGTAAGTTCATCATTATCTTCATCACTTGGGAAATTCACATTCGCCAAACCTTCATCATCTTCGTCACTCAATTGAGCAACTTCCCAAGCTAATCCAATCAATTCTTCATCAACTAATGTAGACTCATCCCTCTCCTTCCTCACTTGCCTCTCTTGTTGCCCTTCGTCTAATATAGATTCATTCTCGACCTGATTACTCGCTTGAATGCAATCTCCTACTTCTCTTGTTTCAGTACTCTCATCATCTCCATCATCCTCATCATCACTATAATACTCAACATACACCTTAGCTTCCTCACCATAAAGATAATGGTAAATGATATCCTTAATATCATTATCATCACTAAAGTATCTCAAAACATCCTTCAACTCCTTCCCAGGAACACAATAATGCAATTTTTGTACTTTGCATGGTAAATAATGCACTATATCCCTCATGAATTCAATGTATGATGGCTTCCTAACATCGACGAAAATAGTACCTTCATTTCCATCGGCATATTCCCATTCCTCAATGCCAATACAAATTCCCCACCATAACAAACAATGACGGCCGCAAGATTCTCCCCCATGACGACATTGCACCCAAGGAAAAAAAACATTAGCTTTTGGGACTACATAGCAAAAAGGACAACAATTTCACATGGATATCCCCACAATTGCAAAAAATTGATTAAAGAATGGACTTTACAGTTGTCGTTTTCTGGAACGAAACCAATAAAGTTGATTTAATCAATTCGGTCCCCACAATAGCATCGAATTGATTAAATAAAGTGAGTTCCCAACAATAGAAGCAAATATGTTTGCTAGTATCAAGAACCATGCCGTTTTCCTTCTCTATTATGAAGAACCATTTTCCCTCCAAGCCGAGCCCTAATTTTGCCTTCGTTGCTTTAATTTTGTAGTCGGAGCCTCAACAAAGAAGATGACCAACCTGAATGATCGACGGTGAGACGACGATAGCGAACGAGCGACGGCAGGCGGGCGATGGCGACCGAGCGACGGCGACCGAGCGACGGCGACTGAGGGACGGCGGCGATGGAGCAAGCTTTGTTCGTATGCAGTGGAGGGTTGCCAATTTTCTGCAACCCCCCAAGTGAACGAAGAATCTAAACGACGGTTTGCGTCGTCGTTTTCGCCATAGGCATAAAATGACGTCGTTTCGTTTGTTGGAGCCACGTCGGACGGAAAAACGATGTCGTTTTTTATGTCTACGTGGACTCTATTTTAAAAAAATATGTCATGTCACCTTTTTCTTTTAATTGTAAATGCCACGTGTTAATTTTGGCCAGAATTTCTCGTCATTGACATTTAAGTGATCGGTTTTCAAAAAGTTTGGCACTTAAGTGATCCGGCGAAAACTTTTGGCACGCCGTACACAACGTTTGACACTTGTAGTGTCCTTATTCTTGAGTTCATGCGTGTGCCCTTTGGCATATTTTATGAGTTTTACTTGTATTGCGAATTTCAGTTCGTGTTATTCTCATTTTCAATGGAAAAGAAGAAAAGAAAAGAAAAAGAAAAGGGTAAGAACACAATGAAAAATAGATTTGTATCTTCATATTTCACTCGTCAGTAATGCCACTGTGCGTCGCTTCGCTTTTTCTCAAAAAAGTGTTATTCGGGACATCAATTTACCTTTTGGATCGATAAGATTTCGATCTACTTGCAACCACAATTCCTAGAAGTCAAATACATTTGATGAACAGATGCAAATAAGTTTAAGTGATCTTATTATAAAAGAATTCTCCGAAAGGAAACAAAAAAATCACTCAATTTATGACTTAGAATGAAGATCGACAAACTTTCAACCAGCACTTATTGGGTACCTACAAATGCAATCGTTCCACGGATTATCCTCCTCCTCTTCCTCGCCTGAACTCCTCAGCGACCTCCACACCAAGCTTCCCACCTTAAATCCAGTCCCGAACGCCAGCATCCACACTCTGTCCCCTCTCTCGATCCTCCTCTTCGCCTCAAAGTACGCCAGCTCGTAGAACACTAGGCTGCTCGATGTGTTGCCGAACCGGTGCAGGCTCATCCGAGCTGGCTCGGTGGCCCCGTTGCTCAGTTGCAGAACCCGTGCCACCTGCTCGATCACTGCTTTCCCGCCCGTGTGTATGCAAATGTGCTCAAAGGACGTCGTGAAGTCCGGCACCACCGGTTTCACATGCCCGTGAGATAATGCCGAGACGAGCACTGAGCATGCGTAGGAGACGAGCTGGCTCCGCGGCAGGACACGAGGAGCGAGTATCTTGATGTGTTCGTGGAGGTTAGTTGCGGCGGCACGAACCAAATCCTTGGTGAGCGCAATCCCAGTGTTGCCCTCGTCGTCCTCTTCCTGGAACGCGGCCCTGTAAGAGCGGTCGTCGGCCCCATGGTGAGTCCTGAGTGAGCGAACGAGCTCGAACTTTGCGGCAGGGCGGCGGGCTGGCTCGCTGGTCAACAATGCGGCGGCGCAGCCAACACGGAAAATGCAGTTGCTCACGAGCATTGACCGGTTATCCCCAGAATACCAGTTCAGGCTGATGCTCTCAGTTATCACCACGAGGGCATAATGGACATTTCCGCTGTGACGCAGGACTTTCGCCGCCAGGTCTATAGAGAGCACGCCGGAGCTACATCCCATGCCGCTCAAGTCATATGCCTTGACGTCGGGCCTGAGCTTGTAACGATTCACGATGAGCGACGAGAGAGACGGCGACAGCGAGAAGCTCCCACACGTCACTATCAGCACATCGATGGCCTGCGGGTGGACGGCGGTCTTTGCGAGGAGCGAGTCGACTGCCGAGAAGATACCTTCCCGGGCTTCTTGCTTGGCGGACTCCAGCCTCGCCTCCTCGTAGTCGGTTCGGAGCATGAAGGGCGGGCCGTACGTCTCGTCCCCGAGGCCTGACTTGAGGTATATCTTCCGCATGAACTCCACGCTCTCGGGGCTGAAGCGCCGGCTCCTGCGCACGAAGCTCTCCGAGACTCCGTACGTGCACTTGCGGTCGGAGCTCGGCTTGAAGCACGAGTAGTCGATAAGGAAAACCGGGGTCGGGCGACAGTAGCAGTAGCACGAGAGGACGACGATGCCGACGAATGCGAAAGGAATGAACAAGGAGAGAGAAGCGAGAGAGGGAACGAAAGCGGAGATGAAGGGGCATGCTGTGGAGGTAATCTGGAGGATTTGGAGGATGGGTTTGATGAGTTTCATGTCTTGGTAGCTCCTCCGTTAGGGTTTTTGGTTTTGGTGGGATCTAGGGTTCGTCACCCCTTTGGTATGTGGATAGGTTTGAGAGTTGGGAGTCGATGGGATGAGGGAAAGAGCATTGGGAAGTTTCTTCTTGCACGGTTTTTATGCAGGTGCCGTCGCTCTTCAATAAATCAATCCACCTGTAATTGGTATATATCGTAGGCGCCGATACAAATGTGCTGCAGTTGGTAGTTGGTAACTCCGCATTAAATCAAGGGAAAAACCCTAGCTGACTGCACCGAGACTCTGCCGGTAGCAACGGTGAGTCAGGGCGTGGGAGATTTTTCTCGAGGAAAGGAAATCCCCCCCACAATCTCGGATCCAAATTTTTAACAACTTTGAATGATGGTGCGTGGGAGATTTTTCTCCTTCTATATGTAAAAAGAAGAAGCAGCAGCAGGTACAGAGAAAAAGGAGGAACATCCATGAAGGCTCTTCTTCCTTCTTCGCACGATACTTACTCACTTTACTTCCTTCACCGCGTCCGCAACCTCGTATCTAGGTATTCGCCGCAATACAGGTACGACATTCATTCACGCCATAAATTCATTCGTGGAGGAAGTCTTTTAAGGCAAAATTCTGAAGTTCGGTGCGAGGCCGAGCACCTTTTCCAGCGAAGTTATGACTTCCCTCCATGAAGTCTCTCCAGCAAATATTTCTAGTTGTTTCGCCCGAATAGTTTGCACAAGTCGCTCACAAGTCGCAAGGTTGTGGTGCAGATATTTCTATATGGATGTCCCTCACATAGGATAGGATCCTCATGCCGGGTATATCTAGTTTTGATTTTCATATGATGTTTGATAGATTTATAATTTTGTTATTTGATGGATGTCTTATTTGGGTCTTCTTCATAAGTGCTCCTGGACATTGGCTAATCATACCTAATGAAAAAAACTTTTTCATTTCTAATATACCGATAATACATAGGGATAATAATACAAATAGTTCATGAACTTTGGCCGAATGTACAATGTGGTCTCTAAACTTTTAATTTGTTCAATGTGGCCCCCGAACATCTAATATGTTTAATGTGGTTCATGGACTTTTGGTACATGTTTAATTTAGTTCATGGACTACATAAAAATGTTCAATATTGTCATTCTATTAATTCAAGTTTAAGGACAACGTTGAACATTTCCATATAGTTCAGGGACTAAACAAAACATGTACCAAAAGTTCAGGGACCACATTGAATAAATCAAAAGTTCAGGAACAACATTGCACGTTGGGTTAAAGTTCAGGAATCATATTGAACAAATTAAAAGTTTGGGAAACACATTTCACATCAAGCCAAAATTCGGGGACCATTTTTATCATTTTCCACAACACACAACACGAGAAATACAATTTCTGAAAATGATAAATTTTATCAGGTATGTTTAACAAAGTGCATGCGGCAGCACCTGTTAACAAAAGCCATCTTATTTCGACATCATCATGGTCCTAAAGTTTAAGGAATATAAATAAACATTTTTTCCTTTCGCTCTTGTAAGACTGCTTGCCCTTTGAACTTTGATTTGATGACAAAATATTAACAGTACAGCTCTCTTGAGTTCGTGCGTGTGCCCTTTCGCATGTTCTTACGAGTTTCGCTAGCATCGCGAATTTCCATTCGTGTTATTCTGATTTTCACTGCCTCAAATCTTTTCGGGCTAGAGAGTCCAATGACTCCGAATTGACCAAAATATCTCCTATGCTTCAGAAAATTTACGTGTAAAAAATAGAACCTTACCTCCCCTCTCCCTCTCCCTCTCCCCATGCCTGGCTCCGCCACGCTTGGTCCCTCCTCTGCGTCGCTCCGCCGTCCTCCCTTGCTACTCACGACCGTCACCTCCTACCTTTGGAGCTCCTCTTTTTCTCTCTCTCTCCCTCTGTATGTGGGCATGCACCGTCATATAACAGTCGGAGGTCAGGGAACTCTAGTCACCTCCGACATGGGATCGCGTGAGGTTGGTGCAGCTAGTGAGGTGAGTCTTAAGCGTTAACGTAATTCTTTTACGAGGAAAAAAACAGAATTATAGGGATGTTAGATCTTCATGATTTTTCATAATAAAAGGAATGAAGACATACATTTATCCATAGCAATACCCTTTGAAATGATTGTTGCAAAAACAGAAGAAACAAAGAAATTTGATTTCTCCCCTTAACCCACTTTTCCCCTTAACATACTTTTTTCTTAACATTTCATATCTGATGGATGATAGAATACAACCGTTTGTTGTCTTTGGTGGAGAGACGATCAGAGTCTATTTATACAGGCTATCGATCGGTGCATTTCATCAAAGCACATTCCACTTCGTAAGAGTCACACATCTTTGAAGGAATTGTAACTTCTCAATAGAATTGCGCATTTTCATCTTTTTTCATAGCCGATACATTTTAGCACTTAAATAGTCATTAAACCATTAACTAATAACATCATGAGAAAAGAGTGACGTGGAGTGGAAAATGGTGGTAACTGATGGTAACTGCTAAGGCAACTGCATGGTGGAGGATGGCAATTCTTTTTTTTATTTTTTTGGGTGACTAACGGTGTCGATGGAAAAGAAGAAACGAAAAAGAAAACGGTAAGAACGCAATGGAAATTAGATTTGCATTCCTCCGATTTTTCACTCGTGAGTAATGCCACTGCGTGTCATTTTTCTCGAAAAAGTGTAATCTTGGACGTCAGTTTACCTTTTAAATCAAGAAGATTTCGATCCACTTATAGCCACAATTCCGTAGAAGTCAAATACATTCGATGAACAGCAGATGCAGATAAGTTTAAGTGATATTAAAAACACGTAATTATAAAAGAATTCTCCCAAAATAATAAAAAAAAATTACTCAATTTATTGTTAGAATAATAGGAGCTCTCAATCACGTGAACATGAGATTAAAATTGATAAGTTTATGGTACCCGAATCAAAGGATGTCGTTATTGATCCAATAAGAAAGAAGATGTCATCATGTGGGTATAAATTTTCATAACTCTCCTCTATAATGTTTGTGCATTTTTCTCTCAATAATTTTATGGAAAATTGGGGAAGTTTGATAATTGGATGCCAACATTCTCCACCAAAAAGAAACCTTATATTGAGGAAGTGATGGGACCAATCATGGAGCTGCCAAATCTCTACTGTCCATCAATGTTTAAAATATGAGTTCTACATGCCTAATTCGATGTTACAAATATATACGCCCATAGTATATTTAATCAAATCAGGCCCATATCAAATGTTAAATAATATACTAGACCACATAATTGGGTTGGACCTGGTCAAGTCCAACAATTATTATGACTTAGAATTAAGACCAATAAAAGTTTCACCCGGCACTTATTGGGTACCTACAAATGCAATCGCTCAACGGATTATCCTCCTCTTCCTCGCACGAACTCCTCAGCGACCTCCACGCCAAACTTCCCACCTTAAATCCGGTCCTGAACTCCAGCATCCACACTCTGTCCCCTCTCTCGATCCTCCTCTTCGCTTAGAAATATGCCAACTCATAGAACACTAGACTGCTTGATGAGTTGCCGAACCGTTGCAGGCTCATCCAAGCCGGCTCGGTGACCTCGGCGCTCAGCCGCAGGACCTGTGCCACCTGCTCGATCACTGCCTTCCCGCCCGAGTGTATGCAAATGTGCTCGAAGGATGTCGTGAAGTCCGGCACCGCCAGTTTCACATACCTGCGAGATAATGTCGAGACAAGCGCTGAACATGCGTCGGAGACGAGCTGGCTCGGTGGCAGGACACGGGGAGCGAGTATCTTGATGTGTTCGAGGAGGTTAGTTGCGGCGGCACGAACCAAATCCTTGGTGAGCGCAATTCCAGTGTTGCCCTCGTCATCCTCTTCCTGGAACGTGGCCCTGTCAGCACAGTCGTCGGCCCATGGTGAGTCCTGAGTGAGCGAACGAGCTCGAACTTTGCGGCAGGGCAGCGGGCTGGCTCGTTGATCAACAATGCGGCGGCGCAGCCGACACAGAAGATGCAGTTTCTCATGAGCATTGACCGGTTATCCCCAAAATACCAGTTCAGGCTGATGCTCTCAGTTATCACCTCGAGGGCATAATGGACACTTCCGCTGTGACGCCGGATTTTCGGCGCCAGGTCTATAGAGAGCACGCCGGAGCTACATCCCATGCCGCTCGAGTCATACGCCTTGACGTCGGGCCTGAGCTTGTAACGATTCACGATGAGCGACGAGAGAGACGGCGACGGCGACGGCGAGAAGCTCCCGCACGTGACTATCAGCACGTCGATGGCCTGCGGGTGGATGGTGGTCTTTGCGAGGAGCGAGTCGACCGCCGAGAAGATGCCTTCCCGGGCTTCTTGCTCGGCGGACTCCAGCCTCGCCTCCTCGTAGTCGGTTCGGAACATGAAGGGCGGGCCGTACGTCTCATCCCCGAGGCCCGACTTGAGGTATATCTTCCGCATGAACTCCACACTCTTAGGGCCGAAGCGCCGGCTCCTGCGCACGAAGCTCTCCGAGACTCCGTACGTGCACTTGCAGTCGGAGCTCGGCTTGAAGCACAAGTAGTCGATAAGGAAAACCGGGGTCAGGTGACAATAGCAGTAGCACGAGAGGACGACGATGCCGACGAATGCGAAAGGAATGAACAAGGAGAGAGAAGCGAGAGAGGGAGCGAAAGCGGAGATGAAGGGGCATGCTGTGGAGGTAATATGGAGGATTTGGAAGATGGGTTTGATGAGTTTCATGTCTCAGTAGCTCCTCCGTTAGTGCTTTTGGTTTTGGTGGGATCTAGGGTTCGTCACCCTTTTCTACGTGGATAGGTTTGAAAGTTGAGAGTTTAGGGAATCAGGGAAAGAGCATTGGGAAGCTTCTTCTTGCACTGGCACAGCTTTCATGCAGGTGCCGTCACTCTTCAATAAATCAATCCACTGGCAATTGGTAAATATGCCGTTATAATTGGTAAACTCTATGCCGTTAAGGGAAACCCTAGTTGACCGCACCATAGATCTGTCAAATGGGTGTTGGCACGTAAATTTTGGCTAACCATTTTGTGATTAATTGCACAGAAAATTAGAGATTAAATTTTAACCCCTAAACAAAAATATTAAAATTGCATAGCATATAATTTAGGTTCA